GATAGTGGTTTAGCTGGAGTTACCATTTTGTGTAAACACAGTGGTAAGAAGCTATGTAAGTCCCACTACCAGCATGCAGGAATCCCTAACTGAATTGGGAAAACCTGATCGTGACAGACACCACCATAACCTAGCCATTGCAATTTCTACTTAGCCTCTGAGGAACTTCAAAGGTTAGAGTAATTCCAGAAAGTGGTTAGACGTATTTGTATACTTTTTAAAATTCTGTTTGGCTTTTACTGTGAAAATACCGGGAGTTTCATGACAAGGTCTTATTTTTAATTCATTTCTCTTCAAGAAAATGTTTCTTGCCTAGAGTCATAATTTTAGAGCCAGAAGGACCTCCCATCTTCAGACTGAAGCTCTGAGAGGTTGATTCTCACAGTGTACTCTCTAATATTTCTGGACCCACTTCTTCCCCCCATTTTCCCTGCTACCATCTTTTCTCAGGTTTTATCACTTCTCACCTGGACAATGGCAATAATTGCAAGTGATCGCCCTGTTCTGTTCCTTCCATCCACTCTTGTTGCGCTAACCCAAGAGCAATTTTTCTAGAAAACCTTCCTGATGATTTTCATTTATTTCCAGGATAAAAATTCTACACAGGATTCCTATTGCATTCAAAATAGAATCAATCTCCTTTCCTTGTCACAAAATACTTCCCTTTTTCACCTCAACACCTTCCACGATCTACCCCAATCTGTTTCTGGTACGCCGGAGGAATTCATGTTCCTAGACGCACCCTATGGTTTCATTTTCCTGTCTTGTGTATGCTTTTCCTCTGCCTAGAATGTCCTTTTCTCCTTGTCCACTGGAAGCTCATTTATTAAGAACCAATTCAGGCATTTTTTTCCTTCTTTCATACCTTTTGCTACCTCCAACAAGATACAAACTTTTACCACAGTACAGGACTTTGCTGCAGAGAGTGGGAGACTGGGCATAGCATCATGTGCCTGTAGTCCTAGCTACTGGAGAGACCAAGACAGGAAGATTGCTTGAATCCAGTTTAAGGGCAAGTGCACTTTGATTGTGCCTGTGAATAGCCAGTGCACCCCAGCCTGGGCAACAGATGGAGACCCTGTCTCTAAAAAAATATAGTGGGAAGTGGAGGGCAGAGTCCTGAGGCCCTTCAAAGACTTGACAGGAAAGAAAAGCATCCCTTGGGCCAAAAAGTAAAATCAATAGACATTAAAAGAGGCCGGGCTCAGTGGCTCATTCCTGTAATCTTAGCACGTTGGGAGGCCAAGGAGGGCAGATCATTTGAGGTCAGGAGTTCGAGATCCACCTGGCCAACATGGTGAAACCCCGCCTCTACTCAAAATACAAAAATTAGCTGGACATGGTGGTGCGGCCCTGTAATCCCAGCTACTTGGGAGGCTGAGGCAGGAGAATTGCTTGAATGCAGGAGGCGAAGATTGCAGTGAGCCGAGATCGAGACACTGCACTCCAGCCTGAGCAACAGCAAGACTGTCTGGAAAAAAAAAATGACATTAAGAGAATCCTGGGAAGACATTACTGAGTGGAAGATGCTTGTGTTCTTATCTCTTCTGGAGACACTGAGGAGACTTCCTCTGGTATATGTGTCTTAGATGGAGAAGACGTTGCTAACATCCATGGAAATGAGAAGTGGGAAGCTGGTGCGGAAGGAGGGTCAGCACCCGGAGAGAGACGACATGGTAGTTCAGGGGAGACATGATAAAAGTTTCTTCTGAGCACATTAACATTTAAAATGTACTTACTCTAAAAATAAATGACAGTTCTTTAAACTGAATTAATTCAGCTTTGTGAAAAACTCATTACATTGTTCTTATTTTGCTGTGAAACTGTGAGAAATTTAACACAGACCAGCATTTTGTCATCAATGGTTTACTAAATCACAGAGAGGCCATTTTTATGCTTTGTTTTGACCTGTTTACAAGGAATGAAATTGTGGCTTGAAGAAACAGACACCCTAGAAAGGAGAAGGTGGGATTATAAATTAGTGCAGTATTTATGGAGAGCCTTATGGAAACACATATAAATATAAAATGTGCATATACTTAGACCCAGCATATCCACATCTAGAAGTTTATTCTTATGGAATGATTGGATGGGTTCACAGGTTCCCAGTGATGTATACTCACAGATATTATTCCAACACAGTTTTTAGTATTGAAAAGTTAGAGACACCTAGATAGCCTTCAGTAGGACTTGGTTAAATACATTGCGGCATAGTTACATAATGAGCTACAATGCCATCATCAGATAAGTGGCTACTTCTTATCACTAAATAGAGGTAGATCTATGTATGTTGACATAGGTAAATGCTTTTTGTATAATGCTAAGCAGGTTACAGAAATATATTTTTTATGTAATTAGTCTTATTTTTAAAACAGCTTTATTGAAATATAATTCACATGATTCACCTACTGTCTTAAGTCTGTTTGTGCTACTATAACAGAATACCATGGACTTGATAAGTGATAAAGAACAGAAATTTCTTTCTCATAAGAAGTCCAAGATCAAGGCAATGGAAAGTTCGATTGGTGAGGGCTACTCTTCTGTCCTCACATAGCGGAAAAGCAGAATAAGTTAATGAAGAGACTCTGTTGATAAATACCTTAATCCCATTAATGAGGGAGGAGCTGGCATGCCCTGATCAACTTTTAAAGATCTTACCTGTTAATATTATCACATTGCTAACATTTGAATTTGAGAGGAACACATTCAAACCTTAGCATCCATTTAAAATGTACAGTTGACAGCCATTACCACAATCTAATTTTAGAACATTTTTGCCCTCTGCAAAGAAATGACTACCCATTAACTGTCAATCCTTGCTTCCCCCACCCTCAGCAACTGCTAAATCTATTTTATGTTTCTGTAAATTTGCCTATTCTGAATATGAATGGCCTTTACGATTGGCTTTTTTCACTTAGCATAGTATTTCCAAGTATCTATGTTGCAACATATGTCAGTGACATTAAAATTTCTTTTTCTTGCCAAATAATATTCCTTTGGATAACTTACCACATTTTATTGATGTATTCATCAGCTGATGGACACCTGGCTTGTTTCCACTTTTGGGGTATTATAAATAATGATTGTGAACAGTTGTGTGTAAGTTTTTGCAAGAACAGATGTTTTTATTTTGCTTGGGTACATACTTAGGGGTGAAATGTCTGGGTCACGTGGTAACTAATTTTTGAAGAGCTCTCAAAGTGTTTTGGAAAGCGTTGCACCATTTCACATTTGCACAGCAACGTATGAGGGTTCCAGTTTCTCCACATCCTCACCAACACTTCTTATTGTGTGTCATTTTCATTATAGCAATCCCAGGGATATGAAGTGGTATCTCACTGTGGTTTGCATTCCCCTACTGATTAATAATATTGAACATCTTCTCATGTGCTCATTGGCCAGTTCCAGTTTATTTTTAAAGATTATGTGAGCAAATACATCTGGGCAATGATATACAAAACGGTAATAGTGCTTCTGTCTAGAGGATAGTCTTTCTTATTTTCTATTGTGTTTCTCTATCAATCAAGGTTCTACCAGAGGGAAAGAATCAGTAGGATAGATGGATAGATAGATAAGGAGATAGGTAAATTGTAAGGAATTGGCTGATACAGTCATGAAGGCTGGCTAGGAAAATCAAAATCCATAGGATAGGGCAGGCGGTCAAAAAGAACAGGCTGGAGATGAAGCTGCAATTCACAGGCAGATCTCCTCTTCCTCAGGAAGAGCTCAGTTCTACTCTTAATGACTTTCAATTGACTGGATGAGATCTATCCAGATCATCAGAGATAATCTCCTTTACTTAAAGTCAATTGATTATAAATATTAACCACATCTACAAACTACAGTAACACCTAGATTTGTGTTTGACAGGATAACTAGTTACTATAGCCTAGCCCAGGTGATGCATAAAACTGACCATTACAATTCTCTTTTATATTAGTTAGTTGTTTTTACAGTGAAATCTGCATGATTCTTTTTTTTTTTTTTGAGATGTGGTTTTGCCATCTTTCCCGGGCTGGTCTCAAACTCCTGGGCTACAGCGATCCTCCTGCCCCAGCCTCCCAAAGTACTGGAGTTAACAGGCATGAACCACCACATCTGGCCTGTATTACGTTTTTAATTGGCAAAAATAATATAGCTTCATTATTAATAATTGTTTTAATACATCGTACCTCTACTCTCACACTCAGTGATGAATGCTTGTTTTTCTTGGTATCCTCCAGAATGCTCAGCAGAGTAGCTTGTACCTGGTAGATGCCTATTAGATACTATCTTAGTTTTCTATTACTGCTATAGCCAATTTACACAAATTTAGTGCCTTAGAACAGTGGTCACCAACCTTTTTGGCACCAGAGACCAGTTTTGTGGAAGACATGTTTCCCCCAACACTGGTTGGGGGGATGGCTTCAGGATGATTCAAGAGCATTACATTTATTATGCACTTTATTTCTATTATGAATACATTGTAATATATAATGAAATAATTATACAACTCACCATAATGTAGAATCAGTGGGAGCCCTGCCTGAGCTTGTTTTCCTGCAACTAGACAGTCCCATTTGGGGGTGATGAGAGACAGTGACAGATCGTCAGGCTTTAGATTCTTGTAAGGAGCATGCAAGCTAGATCCCTTGCAAGTGCAGTTCACAATAGGCTTGTGCTCCTATGAGAATCTAACATCACTGCTGATCTGACAGGAGGCAGAGCTCAGGTGGTAATACGCAAGTGATGGGGAGCAGCTGTAAATACAGAGGAAGCTTCTCTGGCTAGGAAGGAAGCTTCTGCAACTTGCCTCCTGCTCTGCAGCCTGGTTTCTAACAGGCCGTGGACCAGTCCTGATCTGTGACCCCGGGAATTGGAGACCCCAATCTATGGCTTTCTGTGTAGTATACAGCCTACCACAGATACTAGCTGGCTAAATATTCACAAAGCAGACCCTGCAACACTGTTTTTATTTACCAAGAAACCTTGACTCTAACAAAGCTGTTCCCTTTTCACAGGCTGATGTCAGTGTGTCTCATTCTGGGGAGAATTGCAGCCCCCAGATGGAAGCTGTTCTGACCAAGAATACTGTGGACATTGCAGAAGGCCTGGGACAAGTCCAGATGGGAAGCTTACCTGGAACCATTTTAGAAAATTCTCCATCTCCTAGTGAAAGAAACAGACGAGGAAATTCAGGTAACCTCCCTGGCCTCCATTCATGTAGATCTTCACAAAATACTGTTCCTCTAAATACGTTTACAATGTATATTCCGAGTTCCTTTTATCACTGCTTTCTGGGCCATGAAGTACTTTCAATGGCAATGTTTTTATCTCTGAAACATTAGAATTTAGCCTTAGGCCTTCATTATGTAAGTAAATAATGCTAACCATTAATCTTCTTGTCAATGAAGTAATTAAGACCATCTTAAAAAAAAAAAAAAAAAACCTAAGGCTTTATTGGGACTTAGGGCTAGACTTTAGGAATAGGACTTGCACAGTTCAAAGGAATTTAACTGTGAACTGTGATAACATCTTTCCAAGGCGTTATGTGTAAATTTTCAGTGCCACAGATAGCACTCAAATGTAAGTTTTCTCAGCAAGGCAATTTACTTCTATGGAAGGATGTGTCTCACAGATGGAGCAAAGGTGAGCACACACCTGAACAGGGGAGGGGAAGGAGGGGTTCTTATCCCTGATGCAGATAACCCCTAATGATGTGTCATTCCCCAACTGGCGAGGGTTGGACAGCAAAGTCTAAGCTAATTCCGATTGGCTATTTTAAAGGGAGCAGGGACATGAGCCAGAGTGGCAGGATGAGCAGTTTGGTGGGAAGGAAGGTCACAGAACAGGTAACTAAAGGTGAGTCAGGTCAAAGCAGGTGATCAGGAGAACAGATGTGAACTACTGATTAGAACTGGCTGAAAAGTTGTTACTAAAACTAGGGGTAAGGGGGCAAAGAGAACCAGGAAGTTAAACTTTAAAATGGAGAGCAAAGAACAGGGGAGCTGAACATACTGTTACATTGGTTCTTTGGAGAGGGCCTCAGAACTCATTGTACGTAACAATTTACAGGCTAAAACCTTTGAAGAGGAATTTATCATATCCTACAAAGAGAAAATTCTACACTTGCAAGAATAAAACCTACAGTAAACTATTTTTCCTTTCTTCATCCAAATCATCAGCAAATATACAATAAAACAATCTTTCAGAAATGTGGAAGAGGTAGTTATGACTTACTGTGCTATCTAGAAACTATCTGTGGGTTCTCCTATGGTGTGTTTTCCCTTGACTTGAGTTACCCCCTGGTGTCAATTTAAGTCATCTTATTTATATTCAGTCAGCCTTTGAAGCATATTGAACTTCACAGCCCTCAAGGAAAAGTACTCTGTTTTATTTCAGGGGTGAAAATTTTCACTTACCATCACTATTGTTTCTTCTCTAGGCACTTGGGACTGGAAAATTGATGGGTTCATACACGCAATTCTATTTCTTGAACTTTTCCTGGCACACTCAGGTTATCACAGATTTTATATTTGCCCTCTCCTTGCTGTTCTGATGGAGTCAGCATGACCTCTGAGAATGTCTAGGAGGCTGAGGAATGCAGCACAGGAACAGCCTCTCCCTCCCTTCTATGTGTTAAATTGACACATACATTTTTTTTCCCAATAATTCTGTTGAGACAACTTCCCTCTAGAGAGCAACATGAGCACTAATATCAGTGTTGGTCACAGACTGTAGAGCGTCAGGCAGACAGTGACCTGGGGACCCAGGACAGTCAGTGCTGCCAGCTGTGTGTGCAGTGTTAAAGGTGGCATGAAGAGGATGAGAGGTAAGCAGAAGGGTCTTGAGAGAGAGCAGCTAGGGAGGGAGTCAGCCACCAAAGCAGATGTTTCCAAAATGCAGCAGCATCAAAGGGTCCTCAGGAAGCATCTTACCACAGAGTGGGTAGGACCTAGAATCCCGAACTTTCTATGTGTCCTCTGCCCAGTTTCCTCTCTACATCTCAGCCCTTGGCATCCTCTTTTCTGCATCTCTGCTCTTCGAATCTGCAGAGTGTATTTCTTTTTTTTTTTTTTTTTTGAGACAGAATCTTGCTGTGTCACTGAGGCTGCAGTGCAGTGGCGTGATCTCAGCTCACTGCAACTCCACCTCCCAAATTCAAGCAATTCTCCTGCCTCAGCCTCCCTAGTAGCTGGGATTACAGGCATGTGCCACCACACCTGGCTAATTTTTGTATTTTTAGTAGTGACGGGGTTTCACCATGTTGGCCAGGCTGGTCTCGAACTCCTGACCTCAGGTGATCTATCTGCCTTAGCCCCCCAAAGTGTTGGAATTACAGGCATGGGCCACTGCGCCTGGCTGTGTGGAGCATATTTCTTAAGACTACCACGTTTCACACTAACATTTCCCAGTGTTTCCTTTTTTAAAAAACCTTTTTATTTTGTATATTCAGATTCAAGAAAAGGTGCAAAAAACAAAGAACACCTATATTCTTTCACTCGGATTCCCAAAATGTTAACATTCTGCCACACTGAATTCTCATATCCCCCCTTATGCAAGTATATTTTTCCGAGAGCACGTTACAGACATAATGCCACTTTACTTTCACAAACTCCAGTGTATATTTCCTAAAAACAAGGACGCTCTTTGCATAGTCTCTGTACAAGGATCAAAATCAGGAAATTACTTTTCATGTAGTACTATTGTCTCACCTATAGACCGCATATTCAAATTTTGTCAATTGTCTCACAACTGTCCTTTATAAATGAATATCTGATTCAGGATCTGTCTAACCCAGGATCACATGTTTAATTTAGTCATCATATGGTCTTTAGTCTTCTTTAATCTGAACAACTCCTCAGCTTTTCTTAGTCTTTTATGACCTTGATATTTTTGAAAAATATAAAGCATTTATTTTGCAGAATGTTTATCAATTTGAGTTTGTTTGAGCTTTCCTCACAACTGGATTTGGGTTACGCATTTTTTTTTTTTTGGAGACGGAGTCTCATTCTGTCACCCAGGCTAGAATGCAGTGGCAGTCTCAGCTGACTGTAACCTCCACCTCCCCAGTTGAAACAATTCTCTCTCCCTCAGCCTTCTGACTAGCTGAGATTACAGGTGTCCGCCACCACACTCAGCTAATTTTTTTTTTTTTTTTTTTTTTCAGTAGAGATGGGATTTCGCCCTGTTGGCCAGGCTGGTCTTAAACTCCTGACCTCTGGTGATCTTCCCTCCTCAGCCCCCCAAAGTGCTGGGAATACAGGTGTGAGCCAGGGTTACACATTTTTAGCAAGAATACCAAAAATGATATTGTGTCTCTCTTAATACATCAAATTAGGAGGTACATTATATTCAACTCTTTATGTTTGTGGGAATTTTTGCTTTACAAGCTTTTTTCTTAATCTTGTAACATTTATAAATGCTTAAAATTCAATTTGGATTTTGAGTCACAGCTAGAAAACCTTCCCTACATGAAGGTTAAAGATGAATTCACCAAGTGGGAAGAGATAGCATGGGGAGAAATGACAGACACAGGTGAGGGGATGGAAGGCAGCAAACCACACTGCCATGTGTGTACCTATGCAACAATCTTGCATGTTCATCACATGTACCCCGAAACCTAAAATGCAATAAAATAAAATAAAATAAAATAAAAAAAGAAACAAACAAAAAAAAAGATGAATTCACCCATGTTTTCTTGCATAATTTCACTTTTTACACTTATGCTTATGAAGAATTTCCAAGGGCATCAGAAAATGCTAATGTAAATGTTAGCTAGATAGGAAACAAAACTGTAAGTTCAGTAGGATGTCAGACATGAAAATAAAATAAACTTATGATGTCAAACTTATGAAAATAAAATTTTGTATATTAACAGTGGTGATCTCTGGGCGGTGAAAGTATCAGCATTTTTTAAATCTTTTACCAGTTTCCGTATTTTTAAAATTTACTCCAGTAACTATGCATTATTACTTTTCTAATCAAAAAGAAGCACAACGTGGTTTTTAAACATTTCCTAATGTTCTCCAATGTCCCAAGCAAGCATGAAAATTAGTTGAAATGACTGACATATTCCAGGAATCTCTGTATAAGTTGGCTGCTCTAAATACCAAGCCAAATACTTTAGAGAACTCTAAAAAGAATGAATTAGAATGATTACAATAATTTTATTATGTTAGTGACAGATGTCAAACATAGCATTCCTTTTAGGAGCATCCTGGGAGAGAAACAAACCTCTGACAGTGGATCTACTTACATCATCTATTTGGGAGGAGATCAGTGGGACAGTTGAGAGCAGGCATGTCAGAGCCAAGCAGATGAGGATTTAGTCCTTGGTAACACACATGCCACCTGTGTCACCTTAAGCAAGTTAATTAGCTTCTGTCATATGGGATAGGGCTGGGTGCAGTGGCTCATGCCTGTAATCCAGCACTTTGGGAGGCCAAGGTGGGCAGATCACAAGGTCAAGAGATCGAGACCATCCTGGCCAACATGGTGAAACCCCGTCTCTACTAAAAATACAAAAATCAGCTGCGGGTGGTGGTGCGTGGCTGTAATCTCAGCTACTCAGGAGGCTGAGGCAGAATTGCTTGAACCCAGCAGGCAGAGGCTGCAGTGAGGCGGAGATAGCACCACTGCACTCCAGCCTGGCAACAGAGGAAGACTCTGTCTCAATCAATCGATCAATCAATCAATAAAATAGGGATAATATCACTCTCAGAGTTGATGTTTGCATTTGATATCATACAGTGTATCAGGTACTTAATGTAGTGCAGGTGCCTAAGTGCTCATTAAATAATTATTATTCTTTTGACCTTTCCAGACAAGGCCACCTTCTAACCAAAAAAATTATTCTAATTCCTTGAAGGGGATTCACTGCTGACCTTATCATTGAAATTTTCTCCATTGTTTCAAGTTTCTGGTTGACCTCCCCATATGACATGTTTTACTACCTGTGCCAACACTGTGCAGAGCAAAATGAGTGGCAGCTCTATTTCAAACACTTGCAAGGGTAGAAAACAGCACTGGATAGTTACTGAGATAAGAGGAAAACTGTTGGAGGTACTTGCAGTGGCCAATCCTAGAAATCTCTTATACCAAAAAGGTTAACATGCTGAAGTGAGAGACATCTGGGGGTGCTGTGTGTGTGTGTGTGTGTGTGTGTTATCTTCCCAGCACAAATTCATGAAAGCTGTCATTGCTAACCAGTGAGATTAGAAATTTTTTCTGGGTGCAGTGGCTTAGGCCTGTAATCCCAGAACTTTAGGGGGCCAACACAGGTGGATCACCTGAGGTCAGGAGTTCGAGACCAGGCTGGTCAACATCGTAGAACTCCCTCTTGACTAAAAATACAAAGATCAGCTGGACATGGTGGTGGGAGCTTGTAGTCCCAGCTACTTGGGAGGCCAAAGCAGGAGAATGGCTTGAACCTGGGAGGCAGAGGTTGCAGTGAGCTAAGATGTCACCATTGCACTCCAGCCTGGGTGACAAGAGTGAAACAAGGAAGGAAGGAAGGAAGGAAGGAAGGAAGGAGGGAAGGAAGGAAGGAAGGAAAGGAAGGAAGGAGAGAGAATGAAAGGGAGAAAAAGGAAAGAAAGAAAGAGAAAGAAAGGGAGAAAGAAGAGAGAGAAAAGAAAGAGAAAGAAGAAACAAAGAAAGAAAGGAAAGAAAGCGAGGGAGGAAGGAGGGAAGAAGGAAAGAAGGGAAGGAAGGAGGAAAGGGTGGAAGGAACGAAGGAAATTTTCATAGGAAGATGCCATCCACTAAGTGGAATGGACTTGGTTACTCTCAGGACTTCCTGATAACGACTGCATAGACAATAGGTCATTTCTCAAGACTTCGCATTGCACTGTTACCGACAGGAAAAGCAAAACTGTCTTTGGCCCAACAGGCCAGTACCCTTTATTTTATAACGTGATGGCATAAACGTGACTGCCTATTTGCTTATTTATATAATTGAATGATTTGTAATGGGAGAGCCTCTCTCATTAGTGCGGCTTATAAAGACTCCCCTCTAAACTGTTTCAGTGCTCATTTTTAGAATCACGAATGAATATTTAGCTGATACCACTCTAACTCCAATTCTGATTTGGTTCAAAGACTCTTTTCAAAAAGGCATTCTTTTACTTATGTAGACTTAGCAGATGGCGTAATTATAAACTTAGGGTTGCAGAACTAGAAGTCTCTTGGCAACATCACACTGTTTATCCTTTGTATACAAAGCATGGAAACCAAACCACAACTCAAAGAATCACCAAAAGAATATCTGATTCTTAGCTGTGGTTTAGCTTCAGAATTAGTCCAGCAAACCAGTGTTGTCCTACCCAAGTGTATTTAAGTGTTGTCACAAAAGAACTTTTTGTTACCTTAATATGTGATCTGCTAAGTAAATAGTATATTATGTTGCTGTGTATACTCTGTAAGGACATAAAGAATTTAAACTTCAAATGATTACAAAGACATAATAGAAACGTATTAAGTGTTGAAACTAAGAACTAATTAAGTAGCATGGTTTATAAGGCATCCATTTAACATTTGATTGAAAAAATCTTCATTCTTAAATTTTGCTTTCTTTTTCTTTTCTTCTTTTTTGGTAAACCTAGTGACCAGTGGGTTAATCAATAAACCCCAACCCCTAGAGATTCGAGAGCGACAGAAGTCATCAGATATCCTGGAGGAACTAATTGTTCAAGGAATAATACAAAGCCACAGCAAAGTACTTAGAAATGGAGAATCATATGATGTCATGGCAAGTAATTTTTTAAATTAACATTAGCTTATAGTTAAAAGTAGCAATAGAGTATGATTGATCATGAGTCATTATTCCCAGCATATGCAAGTTACAATACGAATGACAGCATTTATTTAAGTCAGATTTTTCTCTCTTAAGATCCCCCGACATCTCTGCACACCTTCTCATATGGTTTGATTCTGTACTCCCACCCAAGTCTCACCTTGAATTGTAATCCTCAGGTGTCAAGGGCGGGACCAGGTAGAGGTTATTGAATCATGGAAGTGGTTTACCCTATGCTATTCTCTTGATAGTGAGTGAGTCTCAAAAATCTGATGGTTTTATAAGTGTCTGGCATTTCCACTGCTTGTACTCATTCTCTCTCCTGCTGCCTTGTGAAGAGGTGCCTTCTACCATGACTGTAAGTTTCCTAAGGCCTTTCCAGCCATGCAGAACAATTAAACCTCTTTTCTTTATAAATTACCCAGTCTCGGGTATTTCCTTATAGCAATGTGAGAACAGACTAATACACCATCCTTCTCTGCGGACTCAGGAGCTGCTCTAATTATTAATGATTATTTAATCCAGTAAAACATATATTGGGTTTTCCTAAATTTGAGAAATAATAGGCCCTACTGAATAACCTTCTTTAATTCTTTCAACAATTTTTCTTGAACATTGCCTGTGTAATAGGCATTGTGCAGCTCATTAGAAATGAGAAACTGAATTCTGATTTATTCAGTAAGAAAATAGGCCTGACAAGTGTTTTAGGTAATGGATATGCTAATTACCCTGACTTGATCATTATACATGTATCAAAACATCATACCGTACCCTATAAATATGTATAATTACATGTCAATTAAAAATAAGGTAAAACTTTAAAAAAGAAAATAAATAGGCCTAAATGCCAAAGCTAAAACACATATAGCTATACATTTATCCACATGCACACTCCAAAATCAAACATGAGGAATTAAGTAGAATTCTAGAAATTGCTGTACTTTTATTTTTGTTTGTTGATTTATCTTGATTTATCTGTCACAGTTTTTCCTCAGCATGAATAATGTTTTTACTCTGATTTTAACTAGCTTGGCTAAATCAAGAGTTCTAAATTTTTTTTTTTTTTTTTTTTTTTTTTTTTTTTTTTTTTTTTTTTGAGACAGATTCTTGCTCTGTTGCCCAGGCTAGAGTGCAGTGGCACAATCTCAGCTTACTGCAACCTCCGCCTCCCGGGTTCAAGCAGTTCCCCTGCCTCAGCCTCCCGAGTAGTTGGGATTACAGACATGCGTCACCACGCCCAGCTAGTTTTTGTATTTTTAGAACAGGGTTTCACCATGTTGCCCAGCCTGGTCTCAATCTCCCGACCTCAGGTGATTTGCCCACCTTGGCCTCCTGAAGTGCTGGGATTACAGGCGTGAGCCACACCATTGGCCGACTTGTGAATTATAAAATAAGTTCTGTATAAATTTGTGAAGAAGACAGCAGATTTAGTTGCTGTTATTTTGTTTTCTTCTTTGGGTTTTTGTTTTGTTTTGTTTTGTTTTTTAAAGCCAATGCTCCTAGGCATTACCACTAGTCCTTGAAGTACAGGCAGAAGAGAGAAGGTGAAAAAAAGAATCAACAGTGAAAAGAAGCCAGAGGAAAAGAATGAAAAAGAAAAGAAAGAAAAGGAAATGGCAGGAATAGAGACCAGAAATTACCCCAAAGGCTCCTTAATGGTTGTCTATTCCTGTGTCATAGGGAAAACAGTCCATTAGGAATTAGAAACTCATTATTTAAATCAAATTTGCCACCTCGACTGAGTCATTTAGTGTTTGAATAAAGTTAATTTCCTTCTTTTTGTATAGGGAATGTTGAGAACTCATGAATAAAAGCCAAAGTGGAATTTTCTTTTGAAAAAGGAAAATAAATCCTGCAGAAAGTACTTGAGGGAAAGGAAAGGAGATTGCCAAACCTTGTGAATAACACTATCAGGCTGCCAATAATAAGAGGATGTGAGGGGCAGGGGAAAAGGAAGGTAAAAATGAATCATATAATGAAAAGATAATGCCAGCATAATGACAATTTACATTTGCACAATGCTATCATGATACAAGGCATTTTGGAGAGCCTTATCTTATTTGAAAGTACTGAAAGAAGGATAGGTTTTTAATATCAAAGGGAAGAGGAAATTTTTTTTTCTAGCTGTTGGTGGTCTCTAGGGGTCAGAAAAAAAGAAAGCATGTCAAAAGGAAAAAATAAAGCAAGTCCGAGGGGAGACAGAGAGATTATAGAAACATCCAGGAGCTAAGCAATGTCTTCTTAAGAGAAGTGCTATAGACACCTTGATGTATACATACGCCAGTAGAAATCACATTAAAACATTCTCTGTGATTCAGTTGCCAGCGATGAATGAGTTCTGACCTAGACCTTGCAAGGGAGCCTGCGAGTTTAATTAATATAAACTACCTTGTGAAAGAGATGCACCTTTTAAAAAATAACTATGGCCTGGACTTTTAATAACATCATTAAGTGAACCAAAGGTGAAGACTACTTTTCATATTATAAGGGCATAGAATAGTTTTTGAGAACATTCTCAAAAGGATTTAAATGTGGCAGGCTGTCAGAATAGCACAATTCTTTTTTTTTTTTTTTTTTTTTTTTTTTTGGCTTTGGTATTAGGCCAAGATATCCTAACATAAGCCAGTCTCGCAACAGACCAGGCAGCAACACACACCTAGAACAGTGGTCCTTAACCCACCTGTACATTGGAGTCACCTGGGGATATTTCAGACATCCCAGAGTCTAGATCCCACTTCTGACCACACGGCCTGGGCGTGTGACCCTGCTTTCACCCTTCTGAAAGCTCCCAGGCAATTCCTTTCGGCAGCCCCAGTTGAGAACTACTGCCCTGAAGGTTCACCAAAACTGTCCACGAAGCTCTCAAATTCATTACCAAAGCTGGGAAGGGTTAAAGCTTTTGAAATCATTCCTGATTCCCTATTCATTGTGAAAGAGAACTCTGAAATATTCCTGAAAATATACCATTTCAGGAATAGGAACTAAGATTATACTCAGGAAGCCTAAGGAAATAAAAAAGAGATGCAATTTCTGTGTCACAGATAAAACCTTGCAATTCAGGGGTAGCTGAGAACATATGTGTGCCAGACACCAGGTGTCTTGCATATTTTGGGAAGAGTTATGAGGCCAATGTAAAGGATGAGAATGAATATTGAAGGACTGAGGGGGAACCATATTAAGAAAGGAAATATTATTAGATGATATTAATTATTAATAATAATGCTTTGAACTATCTAATATTTAATAAGTTTTTTGAAACCCACACCTGATAAAATTGGCTAATAACAAAATAAGAAGTCAAGGGAAGCAAAAAAAGGGATGGTTAAAAAAAAAAAGATATTATGATGTCAGCAGTTACTAAAATGTGGTGAATCTTAACAGACATATAAATATGATTTCTTCATTGCTCTAGGGAAAAACATTCTTCTAAATAAAATATTAGGGGAAAAATAGAATACATGTGAAAATGCTTTGAGTCTCATGCTCTACCAACTGAACTAGCCATATAGCCAAGGAGAATAGTTTAAAAATAAGACTTCTTATGTGGGCCAATAGCGTATTTAAATACAAGGGCATTTCAGACGTAGATCTGGCAGCTTCTTAGCCAGGTCATTATCTTTCATTGAGTTATATAGAGTGAAATTGAATAAAGATGTTGAAAATTGAGGGTTCACCTTCATGAAGTTCCCCCTTCTAAATCAGGGGCATCCCCTGAAAGCCAGTCTCTCCCTAGAGGTCCAGGGGAGGATCTGTGTCCACCACAGAACCCCTTTGTCTTTTTTCTTAATTTTTATCATAAGCTTGCTGGTGAATACCGCAGTAATTCCATAGTGCTCTCTGGATAACCAGCTTTCAAGAATGTTTATGCTAGAATATTTTATGTTTACTTAAAAGTTAAAATCAGGCCAGGCACGGTGGCACACGCCTGTAATCCCAGCACTTTGGGAGACCAAGACAAGCAGATGGCTTGAGCCCAGGATTTTGAGATCACCCTGGGCAACATGGTAAAACCCCGTCTCTACAAAAATAAAATTACAAAAAATTAGCTGGGCATGGTGGTGTGCACCTGTAGTTCCAGCTCCTTAAGAGGCTGAGGCTGGAGGATCACTTGAGCCTGGAAGGTCAAGACTGCAATGAGCCATGATTGCACCATTGCATTCCAGCCTGGGTGAAAGAGGGATACTGTCAAACAAAAAACCCAAACAATGAAAAAAAAAAAGTTAAAATGTGCCAGGCATGGTGGCTCACATTTGTAATCCTAGTGCTTTAGGAGGCTAAGCTGGGAGCATTCCCTTGAGGCTAGGCGTTCAAGACCAGCCTGGGCAACGTGATGAGATTCCATTTCTACAAAAAAAAAAAAAAAAAAAATTAACGATATGTAAGAAATATAAGATTAAGAAGCTATGTATCAGATTGTTGAGTGAATCTTTCAGTGTATTTTTAAACATTCTAATGAGACTTAAGTGACTACATTGTAAACAAGCATTGGTTTTATGTACATATGTCAATATGTGTATGAACTTGTGTAGACCTCTTTAGAGAGATACGGTTGGCTCTCATTTATCCACATAGGTATTATTGAGTTCATCTTTTATCCCAAATTCATTTCTCCCTGCCACTTAGCACGTCCTGGGTCTCCCTACCTGAGACTCTGTGAATTCACAATTGGCTTCTGTGTCTGGTCAGTTTATTCCCTTCTCTGTGCGACTTCTGTATTTGGTAACCTGTGGTGTAGTCGGAGAGTTTGTTCACATTGCATAAGAGTCTCTAACATTATTTATTGAACCTCATGGAGAGATTTTTAAGGCGGAGGAAGTTGGCTGAGCTAGGACTCAATAATGCCAGTTAATGATGAGAGTGACCTTCCCCAGGGGGTCTAACGTTGATAAAGCAAGAATGAAGGGATCTTTTGCAGGAAGCTTTGGCCTATTCTATGCACAGCACTCCCTTAAGGGAACAAAATGAAGACAAGTTCATCCCTTGGTCAATAGTTAATTAAGAAAGCTCTGAGGAATACACTGTGTGTGTAAGAAGTAAAACATATAAGTTCGTAGCTAGAAACGGGACGCAAATCTGATTTTGTTGTTGATTCGTTGTTGTTTCTACTGGTAGCACCTCTCTAAGCATAAGGTGGTCATTGTTACCTTTTTTTATTTTTAATTTTAAAAAGAAACAGGGTCTGATTACATTACCCAGGCTGGTTTTGAATTCCTGAACTCAAGCAATCCACCTGCTTCGACCTCCCAAAGTACTGGGATTACAGTGTGAGCCACTGCGCCCGGCACGTTATTAACCTTTTTAAGTGCCAACATTTAATAAATTCTGACTTCATAACTTTCAGTTGTAAAGAATACAGGTATCTTTCTACAGGTTTTTTTATTTTTTTACTTAAAATGTGGAACTCCAAAAGAACAGGGGTTACACAAATAGGATTACCCTCCTCTATGGGGAGGGTCATTTTAAGATTAAGCAACATGGAGGAGATGACCAAAACAGAAAATCCAACTTCTCTCAGAACTACTGATCTCAGAATTTTAGTCAAGGTTCAGGCTCCTATGTATAGCCTAATCTGGCATTTCGTTATTGGATCTTTAATTTAAAATTTTTTTTTTTTTTTTTTTTTTTTTTGAGACGGAGTTTCGCTCTTGTTACCCAGGCTGGAGTGCAATGGCGCGATCTCGGCTCACTGCAACCTCCGCCTCCTGGGTTCAGGCAATTCTCCTGCTCAGCCTCCTGAGGAGCTGGGATTACAGGCATGCACCACCATGCCCAGCTAATTTTTTGTATTTTTAGTAGAGACGGGGTTTCACCATGTTGACCGGGATGGTCTCGATCTCTTGACCTCGTGATCCACCCGCCTTGGCCTCCTAAGTGCTGGGATTATAGGCTTGAGCAACTGTGCCCTGCCTTATTTTTTTTTTTATTTTTATTTTTTTGAGACAGAGTCTTGCTCTGTTGCCCAGGCTGGAGTGCAGTAGGGTGATCTCCACTCACTGCAGCCTCTGCCTCCCGGGTTCAAGCAATTCTCCTGTCTCAGCCTCCTAAGTAGCTGGGACTACTGGCATGTGCCACCACGCTGTCTTATTTTTTGTATTTTTAGTAGAGACAGGGTTTCACCATGTTAGCCAGGATGGTCTCGATCTCCTGACTTCGTGATCTGCCCGCCTCAGCCTCCCAAAGTGCTGGGATTACAGGCGTGAGCCACCACGCACGGCCTACTATTTGATTTTCTTTTAGCCCTCTATGCATGAGCATCCCTAAAAAAATCATTTTCTTGTTAATTTCACAGTATCTCTAGTTAAGCCATCATAGCAAGTATTCCCCTCTCTTTAGCAGGTAGTCTTTGCCAGCAGGAAACCTAAGCGGTCGTCATAAAATAATACAAAATGATGAGAGGAGGGGGAACTTGCTTTGACAACCATTCCATGGTTTTCAAGTAGTAAATAACTTTGCATCACATAAACCATCTGATGGTTTTAAAGGAACCAAAACGTCAATACATGTTTTTTCTTTAGAAGACTTTGTGAGAATCATAGATTTGAAAGCTGAAAAGAAGCTTAGCAGGCCTCTGCCCCTTTGCTGCTTCACAGTTGGGAAAATTGAGTCCAGAGAGAAGAGCTGCCTGGGTCTCCACTATACCCTGAGCATTCCTGTTGCCCCAGGGTTGAAGCTCACGCCTGGTGCCTAACCATCCCTGGCGGCAGACTCTCTTTCCCCAACTCTGTGCTTTCGCCCCTTTCAGCTTTGTCTTACTTACGATTTTGTATTCTGCCTTTGGAAAAAGTCACTGCTTTGACTGAATGAAAAGCAGCTACCATTTGCTGAGTGGCTACTTTATCATTTTTTTTTCTTTTTTAAAACCAATCCTGTGAAATATGTATTATTAAACTTATTTTTACAAATGAGAAAACCATGGCTTGCAGAGTTTAAGGAATCATAGAAAGTCAATTCAAGCCCTGGGCATGGTGGCGCACATTTGCAATTCCAGCTATTCAGGAGGCTGAGTCAGGAGAATCACTTGAGGCAGGAGAATCGGGAAGCAGAGGTTTCAATGAGCTGAGATCACACCACTGCACTCCAGTCTAGGTGACAGAACAAGAGTCCATTCCATAGGCCAGCCAGAATTCAAGCCCAGGGTTGACTGGTGATTTGTTTTACTCTGCTAAACTTCTTCTCTTTGATGTATTTTCTCAGTACCTACAGCATTATAGTCTAGAGATACAGTCTTTTAGAAATTACAGTGAATATTAATAGCTCTTTTGTCTTTAATAAAAAGTCTTTAGAGAAATTATTTAGAACAATATTCAGTTCATTTTATAGTGCAGCCTTGGAGTTAACCACTCCCTACCCAGTTGTAATAAATCTAAATATACTAACCTAGAAAGACGCCCATATTAAGTTAATTGAAGAAAGTAAATTGCAGAGCAGTGTGTATAGTATAACTCCATTTAGGTTTTGTTTAACACTACAGGTATCCTTAACACATATATATGTATATACATACATGTGCGGAATAGCTATCTGGAAAGACACACACTAAACTCTTTACAAAGCTTCACGCTAAGGACTGGGATTGGGGGCTAGGTGGTTAAATAGAGGATTCTGAGATGATTTGTGTATCAGTTAAATTTTTTATAATCTATCTATATTATCCTAAAACTAATTTTTAAAACAAAAACATATACATTAAAACTTCATAAATTCTTTATGATAATTTTACTTATTTTGGAGCTAGAAATTATAACTAGAAAATCATTATTACTGCTTTGAACTGTTAAAAGGATAGTTGATTATATGAATCGGAATTTTCCCCCTGCTGACATGAAAATATTTGTCCAGTTCCTCCAGCAAAGCTCAGCACAGAGTTGCTGTTCAGTAATTGTTGATTATCTCTTTCTACCACAACACCAGAAGCAATGAAAACTAATCTCTGTCTCAGATGAAAGTAACCTGTAGCTTGTGGAATATTATAAAATCATCAGGTTGAACTTTGCACCGTGAACTATGAATTCACCCCCATTCTCCACTGCTTTTCATCTTATTTTTTCCTTCTAAGGGGTCCTCTTCTATGCAGTCTGAGAGCATCTGCACTTGTAGAGATTTTTCTGTAATAGACTGGTGTTTTTTAAGGCATCTAATAGATATTATCTTTATAATTCTGCTGTTACCAACTTCCACATTGTTTTTGTAATCTGACCCCGGAAAGTTTGGTTTTTAGAATTTACTTTTTATTTATTTATTTTGAGACAGGATCTCACTCTGTAACCAGGGCTAGAGTGCAGTGGCACGATCTTGGCTCACTGCAACCTCCACCTCCTGGGTATAAGGTCTTTTAGGCTAACTGACTGCACCATGGACCACGCCGTGGTAACCTCTGTGACCTGCACATACACTCCAGATGAGTTCCTGGAACTGGAAAGTCTGAAGTGACTGGAAAATCACAGAAGGGAGAATGATCAACCCCTGCAGTGCCTAATTAACTTTGAGACAGTCTTCTATTGTTCCCTATCCCTGCCTCAACTGATAAGGCAACTGGACTTTGTAACTGACCTTGGTCAACCTCATGACTCCAGACCCCCTCCCACCTTGCAAAAGCCACCCTTAACTATTGCTTCTGTAACTTTCCTATAAAACCAACTCCTATCCTACTGCCCTGCTCTGACTCTCTTTTTGAACCCAGCCCGCCCACACCCAAGTGACTAAACAGCCATGTTGCTCACACAAAGCCTGTTTGGGGGATCTCTTTATTCAGAGCATGTGGTTTTTTTTCTTTCTTTTCTTTTTTTTTTTTTTTTTTTCATTCACTTAGGGCATATCAGAGCATGTGTTTTAACTGGGCTCAAGCAATCCTCCACCCTCAGCCTCCCAAGTAGCTGGGATTACAGGCACATGCCAACATGCCTCGTTAAGTTTTTATATTTTTGTAGAGACAAGGTTTTACTACATTGCCCAGGCTGGCCTGGACGTCCTGGGCTCAAGCAGTTTGCCCACCTCAGCCTCCCAAAGTGCTGGGATTACAGGCATGAGTCACCGCGCCCAGCCTATAATTGACATTTTGAACTGTTTATTCTAACTCTTTTGCCCTTCTCCTCTTGCCAGTGAATATAGTTGTTTCTCCATGTTAAAAAAAAAAAATTATTCCAGGTGAATATGACTGAGAAGCCATTGAGAAAGCCACCTGCCAGGCTAAAAAAACTCAAGATCAAAAAGCAAGAGAAGGATTTTACCATGAGTGACATCGAGAAGAAGATGGAGGTTGCCGAAGAGTGCAGGAAGGTACTGAGTTCTCAGATGCTCTAGACTTGAGTGGTTAGCTGTCTGCTAATGTGATCTCATGCCAGACCTTTCCTATCAGCAGTTTTAAGACAAATTGTATGAATCAATAATCAGTATTTTATTTTATTTTACTAATTCTTTTAAGAGACAAAATCTCACTATGTTGCCCAGGCTGGAGTACAGTGGCATGCTCAGAGTTCACTGCGACCTCAAACTCTTGGGCTCAAGAGGTCCCCCTGTCTCAGCCTCCTGAGTAGCTGGGACTACAAACCCACACCACTACATGTAGCTAATTTAAATAAAAATTTTTTAGAGATGGTTTCTCGCTATGCAGCCAAGGCTGGTCTTAAACTCCTGACCTTAAATGATCCTCCTGCCTTGGCCTCCCAAAGTGTTGGGATTGCAGGCATGAGCCACTGTGGCTGGCCTACAGACAATATTTTAATGACTTATATGCTTTTTATTGTATGTTTCATGTTTAGTGGTTTTTCTTAACAATTTCCTTCCTGTCATAAAGGAATAAAGTAGGTTGGGTATTACAGTTTCATCCATATAGCCTAAGCAAGCAACATCCAGTTCTTGGAATTAAGCGAAGTATGGAGTGTTCTTCATATGAAAAGAGAGAAACTTCAGTTAAGGATGGGGGCAGGAGGAGGGGCAGGGTTGGGGTGTGGTGTTAAACTGAGAGGAGCTGCTGCAGAGCATCAGGCAGCATCACCCCTTTTGTATTTTCACCGAGGGCCCCCATAACCCTCCATGTGCCCTTGGCCAGATGCCACCTTCACAGCTTTGGTCCAACAGCCTTCATTTCCCTCTAATTGGCTCTCTAATTGGCCTCTCAGAGCACAAGGACCAGACTGCAAGCTCCATGAGGACAGGCCCCGTGTCTGCCTTCAACAAGAGTTTCTCAAAAGATGTTTGTTAACAACTGAATAATGACATAGAGAAGCCATAAATGTTCATACAAGCAACATTAATTGCAACTTGTAGAAAGTTACTCAGACTCTTTTTCATTCTTTAATACCACATTGCAGCCTAAAGAAGAGGAAATAAGAAAAAGGCTACAGAGTGACCGACTTTTGCCTTCAGCCAATCATTCAGATTCAGCTAAACTAGGTGGGGCTGAGGTTGCATTTGCCAAAGGACTTCAAAGGGTGAGGTGGGCTGGGTTTGAACCGTCTGACCTGCAGGGAGGAAAACCTTGCCAGAGGAAGAAGAGTAAAAGTGATGCAACCATGAGTGACAGAAATGACAGTGATGAAAGTTTTGGGGTCGTGGAGTCAGACATGTCTTACAACCAAGCAGATAACATAGTCTACTAAGCCATTTTTTTGTGTGAATTTCATAAGCCGGCATTCATTTTCCCCTTTTGTGACATTTGTAGTATGTCTCAGATTCTTTGACTGCCTGACCTCATTCCACTGGGATTTCTTGCCGTGGGCTTAAGGATGATTGTGTGGGCTGCATGGGCTGAAGGTTAGTTGAGTAAATTAAATAGCTATGCTACATTTAATAAAGGAGCGAGGGGGAGACTTGACCAGCTTGGATATTTGGCACCCTCATTTGTGTGGCTTCAAACACTGTGGAGATGTCTTTAATGTGTCAGTGCCTTCAGCTTACGTGAATATGTTCATGCCAAATGAAACCCTTCCTGTTCTCCTGCCTGGTGGCAGTGTCCATCTTCTGCTGGTCCTTTAAGACAAATTACATGGATTTGTGTTAAGTATTTTAATGATTTGTATGTTTTTTATGCTGTACGTCTACAGTTTCTGAAATTTTTTTCTTTGTGTTATGCAGGAATGAAGCAATTATCTTAAAGTTGGTTGAATTACAGTTTCATCTATGTAGCATAAGTTAGCAATATCTAATTCTCAGAATTATATACAGAATGGAGTTTTCTTCTTGTGAAAACAGAAGAACTTCAACTGAGGCTAGGGGTGGAAGGAAGTTGTGGGGGTGGAGGGAGGCCCTGCTACCAGTGTCTGTCTTCCCTGCAGGCACACTGAGCTGAGAAGCTGCTGGCCCTCATCTTATTGGAATTATACCTTGCTTCTTCCCTCCCTTACCACTCACATCCAATCAATTATCAGGACTTATGATTATAGATGCTTTTTCCTGGGGTGGGAGGGGCGGGACAGGGTCTTACTTTGTACCCAGGATGGAGTACAGTGACATGATCTTGGCTCACTGCAGCCTTGACTTCCTGAGGCTCAAGCGATCCTCCTGCCTCAGGCTCCCAAGTACCTGGGACTACAGGCACACACAGCCACACCAGGATAATTTTTTGCAGAGATAGGGTTTTGTCGTGCTGACCAGGCTGGTCTCAAACTCCTGAGCTCAAACCATCCACCCACCTTGGCCTCCCAAAGTGCTAGGGTTATAGGTGTGAGCCACCATGCCAGGCTATGATCCTAGATTCTAAGGATCTCTTGCATCCATCTTCATACTTTTCCCTTGTCGGTACCTAGTTTCAGCCGCCCACCATCATTCAACTGGGTTGCTACAATAGTCTTGATCATTATACAACAGTATCTGTTTAAAACCCCTGGTTGGCCCCCTTTTATTGTTGAGATAAAGCCCAGACTCCCTGGTAAGGATCTCAGCTTTCACAATTCAGCCAAATAGAACCTCTTCCAGTTCCTCTAACTCAGCGCACTCACCCCAGGCGCTAGACCTTTGCACATGCTGTTTCCCTCTTCCCTTCTATTCTTCCTGCTCCTTGACTTGAAAAATGCCTTCTTGTCTTTCATGTCTCAACTCAGACGTCACTTCCTCTAAGCCCTCTGGTCCAGGTCAATGCCCCTCTCACCTTTTGGCACCCCGAACTGTTTCACCTTTGCGTCTATCACCCTGTGTAGAAATCACCTGATACTTTTCCATTTTTACCATTAGATATTTTTAGTTCCTGTAAGACAAAGGAGTGGGTCTGTTGTAATCATGGTTGCAGTTTTTGGTACCTTGGAAAGTGAATGCACATTATAAGTGCTACATAAATATTGTTTTAGAGGATACCTCCTCCAGAAACAGGTGCATGGCTTGTTTTCTTGGGAACCATTTGACTTGAGGCTTACTCATCATCTCCTGTTCATACATTCCCTTTGGCCTTTTGTGTATCAGGGGTCCCCAACCCCCAGGCCATGGACCAGTACCTGTCCATGGCCTGCTAGGAACTGGGCCTCACAGCAGGAGGTGAGCGTCAGGTGAGAAAGCTAAGCTTCATCTGTATTAACAGCCATTCCCCATCACTCGTATTACAGCCTGAGATCCACCTTCTGTCAGATCAGTGGCGACATTAGATTCTCATAGGAATGAACAGTGCACACGAGGGATCTAGGATGCACACTCCTTATGAGAACGTAATGCCTGATGATCTGAAGTGGAGCTGAGGTGGTGATCCTAGCACTGGGGAGCAGCTGCAAATACAGATTAAACTTAGCAAAGAGCTTTTACTGCATGGAGACCGTAATAAATCAGTTGCTTGCAAACACATATCAAACTGTATCCGTGAGTGGCAAGTGACAGTGAAGCTGCATGTGGTGGCAGGCTTTAGGGTGGTGAAGTGAGTCCATGTACTTCAGTTGTACAGCTGCATCTGGTAGCAGGCTTTAGGGTGGTGAAGTGAGTCCATGTACTTCAGTTGTACAGCTGCATCTGGTGGCAGGCTTTAGGGTGGTGAAGTGAGTCCATGTACTTCAGTTGTACAGCTGCATGTGGTGGCAGGCTTTAGGGTGGTGAAGTGAGTCCATGTACTTCAGTTGTACAGCTGCATGTGGTGGCAGGCTTTAGGGTGGTGAAGTGAGTCCATGTACTTCAGTTGTACAGCTGCATGTGCTGGCAGGCTTTAGGGTGGTGAAGTGAGTCCATGTACTTCAGTTGTACAGCTGCATGTGGTGGCAGGCTTTATGGTGGTGAAGTGAGTCCATGTACTTCAGTTGTACAGCTGCATGTGGTGGCCTTAAAGGTATGTTTGAGGCAACTTCAAATCTCCATATGTTCTGAATTAAAGTCCAGGCAGAATATCCTCACATTGCCACAAAAGCGCTGAAATGCCTGCTTCCATTTCAGACATCCTATCGTTTTGCAGCAGGGTTTTCTGCAGGGACAACAACCAAAATGAGATTTTGGAGTAGACTGGACATAAGCAACACGTTTTAGATGTCAGTGTCTCCCTCCACCCCAGATAGGATCATCTAGTTGCAAGAAAACAAGCTCAGGGCTCCCACTGATTCTACATTCTGCACAGGAAGGTGATGGTGAGTTGTATAATTATTTCATCATATATAACAATGTAATAATAGTAATGAAGTGCACAATAAATGTGATGTGCTTGAATCACCTTGAAATTATCCACACTCTGCCCCAACGTCCATGGGGAAATTGTTTTCCACGAAACCAGTCTCTGGTGCCAAAAAGGTTGGGGACCTCTGTTGTATATGGATACCTCTGTTGTATATGTTCCTATAGCCTGTAGCACTTCAGACACCTACAGCCAGTGAAGTATGACAGTGCTGGTAGAGGGGATGGAGGGGCTTCTTCAAAACTAATTGCAGAGCCAAAACTTTTAGACCTTCAGTCTACTTCTTACAGTGTGACCCTGAGGCATGCAGGCTCTCTGTCTCAATTACCTTACATGTTAATTTGGGATAGCCAGAGTCATAGAGTTGAATCAAACGAAATAAAGTGTTTAAAGATACTGTGTACCTGATTGCCTGGTTCAGCAGACTGAGTCGTCCCACCCCTTCTATGCAGATAACTTGATTCAGGGGTGCCCTCTCTACTCCATGCCTGGACGGATCTCCAGGCATTTGGAGGACCCACTCACCTGGAACAACAGGCTGAATCACCTCACCCTTCCTGTGCAGAGTTCTTGTTGCAGAAGGGCCCTCTCTGCTGTACTCCCAGGCAGATCTCCAGGCATCTGGAGCACCTAGTCTCCTGAATTAGGAATTTAAGCCAACTCTCATCCCTGTGCAGAGAACTTGGGACTGAGGAGGTTTCCCAGCTCCACACCTAGGCACAGCTCTGGATGCTTGGTGGCCGCCCACTAGATTATCCCTCAGAGTTTGTGCTTGTGCCTGCCATTGGGGGATGTGCAGGCAAACATGCCTGGTCTGGCCCCACCTATCATGGCCCTTGTCCCACACTCCAGGGTTGCGTAGGGGTGCTCAGATCACTGTGAATTCTACAAATCAGCCCATTGCCTAAGGCAACAGAGAGTTTCTGCAATAAACAAAGATCAAGTATACACACAGCCCTAGTGGCCACAGCTGGCTCCTACCTGTAAGTGCCATCTATAGGCTTGTAGGTCAAACCACACAGCCCAATATAAAACCTGCTGAAAGAAATGCATAGGGCTATAGAAGCAAAGCCCAAAGACCCAACCCTTCCCTAACCCTTCCCTGTTGGGGTACAGTACAGTTCCTCTATAGTAACAGGAACTGTTAAGGAAAAGAAAGAAAAAGAAAAAAATCCTATCGGCTTGAAAATAATAACAAAAATTGGAAGTGCCAGCGTCTCCAGATGAGAAGGAACGAGCACAAAGAATCTGCACCATGAAAAATCTGAATGTAGTGACACACCAAAAGATTGTACTAGCTCTCCAGCAATGGCATCTAACCAAAACGGAAACTCAGAAATGACAGATAATTCAAAGCATAGATTGCAAAAAAGCTTAATGAGATACAGGACAAGATCGAAAAGAAGTACAAAGAAACTTCTAAAGCAATCCAGAAAATAAAGGAAGCAATAAATGTCTTAAAAAGAAATCAATCAGAGCTTCTGGAATTGAATTCAAGGAATTTCAAATATAACTGAAAGCTTTATCAATAGACTGGACAAAGCAAACGAAAGAATTTCAGAGCTCAAAGGTTAGTCTTTCAAATCAACCCAGTCAGACTGAAATAAATACAAAATAATTTTTTTAAATGAACAAAGTCTTTGAGAAATGTGGAATTATGTAAAAATGACAGAACCTATGAATTATTGGCATTCCTGAGACAAAAAGAGAAAAAGCAAAAAACCTGGAAAACATATCTGAGGGAATAATTCAAGAAAATTTCTCTAATCTTGCTAGATAGTTAAATATCCAAAAGTAAGAAATCCAGAGAACACCTGCCTGATGCTACACAAAATGATCACCAAGGCATACCGTTACCAGATTGTCCAGGTGATTATTAAAAAAAGAATCTTAAAGGCAGCTAGAGAAAAACGTCAGATCATATACGAAGGGAACCCCATGAAGCTAATAGCAGACTTCTCAGCAGAAATATTACAAGCCAGGAGAAATCAGGGGCTTATTTTCAGAATTTTTATATTTCTCTTC